CCACCCATCGAGAAACAACTCTTCCCCGACACCCAAAATCTGAGGCAGCGTTTTCCTGCCTCCCCTCCCTGCTTAGGGTCACGAGGAGATGCTTTCAATCGCTGTCTCCAAATCTTGCTGGTTTCTTAAGAAGGGAGACCGAACTATCACTGTTGCAGGAAACTCACAGCTGCTAAAAGTTGTCGGTTAAGATCGTCGAATCAACACCCCACCACTACTGTGAAATTTTCTTTTAAAAAAAAAATAAAGGAAAGGAAATTGGATTTTTCTGTCTCATTATTAAATGCACTGAGTTGCCGTACTTGGCACATAAAATCCCCCAAAAAGTTCCTATAAATACACCAGTCATAATGATAATGATACCAGGAGCAGCGCTCGGAGAGGTGTGCAAACACGGTAAACGCCTGACCGGAAAATCCAGGCGTTTGGACCTAAGTTTTGTCGTTTCAGTTCTCCTGCTGATGGCAACGGAGTGACGATAAACAAGAAGTGAGAATTGAGGGGGAGAGGCAGGGGGCAAGGGAGAGGCAGCCAGCACTGCTTTCCAAAGGCGGAGTTTTCTGAGGTCATTTCATCTCGACTCTTTCGTCTTTCTGAATATCAAAGAAAGCTGACTGGATGATTTTCCCAGTCCCTCGCCTGGCCAGGGTAATGCGGTACCTTGGCGCACAGATTACTTTAATCAAGATGTTAAAATATTCTGAATTCTTCCCCTGACGCTGATTGTGCGTTTAATAAACGGTCAGTGTAACTGTCCAAGCTCTCTGCAAACTGGCTTAAAGTATGAGGCTTGACAATGTGAACATCTGGAGCTTAATCGCTGCTACTTTTATAATACATTACAGAAGAAATATGGAAAGTTGTTTAGTAAGCTTTTAATTGGAACTTCAGAGTTTCCTTCTCTATCGTAAGAGCAATGCAGTGTGCAACATGTAATAACTTTCCCCTATAAGGCATCCATTGTCCAGTGCAGGAAACAATCGGTATCCCTTCAGAAAATAAAGTATAGCTCTTAAAAACTTGGGGAAAAGACCTTGTCTTCCACTTAAACCAGCACTGAGGCAAGCAGTCTGCTCTGTCCGCAAACCTGGTAGGGGAAAAAAAATAAAAAAGGCAGCGGAGGCATTCCTGACGGCAGAAGTGAAACCATCTCGATCCAGGCGACTTTGTTTGTAAACCCGGGAAGCAGCGAGCCCGGGCGGCGGCGGGGGGGGCGGCTCCGCCCGCGGGGTGCGCGGCGGCGGCAGTGGGACCCGCCGGGGCTGGGGCTGCAGCTGCTGACTCAGAACAGCAATGTAGGTCATAACGAGTTTCCTTAAGTTACCTAAGTTCCAACAATTCAGCTTTTCTTCAGAGACTTTCAAAGTGCTGTTGCAACATTTCTGAACGCCGTGACTTTTGCTGAAGCTCAGCCGCCGGCTCCGAGCCGCCGGGCTGCGGCGGGGCAGCGCCCGGGGCGGGCATAACCGTTTCGGCACTCACGCCTTTCACATCTCGCTTTTATCATATCTCGCCTATTTCCACCATAACCCTATTTTTAATTCTTTTTACTCTTTTGTCTCGGAGTGTTAAAAAAAAAAAGTGCCAACGCTTCGCACTTCCATTTTCTTCTAAATTTTCAGAACAGAAGCAAGCTAATTGCCTACCTACTCTCTACTTAGTTCAGTTCTTTCCAGGAAGGCTTATTCACGGTTCACAGTTTGAATCTATTCTTTTATTACCACTATTTACTACTTTCCACCACCAATCAATTTTTACACCACCAGTTAAAAGGCTATTAAAAGAGCTCAATTTTGCCATGAGTTTTGTATGCAAAAGACGGATCCGTCTTTTGAGTGACACTCAACACTGTAAGTCTTCGAAATAGGTAATTTTCGTTAATTTTTTTTATTATTTCTTTTTCTCTCTCTCTCTCTCTGTTTGTTTTTTTTCCCAGCCACCAGAGCGGCGAAAGAATAGCCTCAGTCCCCACGGAGAGCCCACAGAAGATGAGCAAGCGTCGTGTTCAGTCGCAAGAGCAGCGAAGTGGGACGGAGATCTGGCGACGAAGTTGTAGAGGAGAGGAAAACCCGGCATCAAGGGACACTTCAAGAGAGGAACCACACTAAAGGAATGTATTTTATTCACTCGGAGCTTTCGTCAGGCATTACCTGCTCTCCCCGCTCCTCAGGGAGCTCCCCAGCAAGCAGGGGCCGTGCGTGGGCTGGGGCGGGGCGGGAAGGGGAGATTTCCGAGGGACTCGCACTCTCCCCCAGAAAATCATCATCGCGAAAGCATCCGTTGTCCCGAAGCATAGCTAAGAGGGGAACTTATCCGCCCATAGAACTCACGAAAACAAGGAGCAGGGACAAAAAATCCAAACCTCGCCCGGTCCGACGGCTGTATTTCTCCTGGGCGCACGCATCGCCTACGGGTGCATCACGGGTGTTTTTAAGGGCGATCACACAACCAGTGTCACGGTCACGCATGCCTCCAGCCTTCCTCCTTCCCTCCAGCTCCTCTGTAACCCCGCGGTGACACCCCACTGGCCTGGGTGCTAGCAAGGGAGGATTTCCTCCTCTAAACGTGGAAGGACTTGCCAACCGAGCAGGAATCCCGTAGATGTTTCCCCGAGCATGTTAGAAGTAGCAGCACCAGCAGACCCACGGAGCCCCGAGGCCGGAGCCGGGAGCGCTTGACAGGCTCGGGCAAGCCCGGTCCCGGCCTCCGCCCGCCCGGGGCACGGCGGCTCTGCCTCCTGGGGCGGAAGGGACGAGCCCTCGCTCTTAAAAAAAAAAAAAAAAAAAAAAAAAAAAAAAAAAAAAAAAAAAAAAACAAAAAAACCCTTAACCTACCAAAAACCGAGTTGAAAGGGGAAAAAAAGAATACATTTTTTTCCCCCGAAATTTGCTACCCTGCGCCGTCGGAAAGTTCCCCCCGTACCGCAGCACCCGAGGGCGGTAGCCGAGGAGACCGTGAGCGCTAAGGATCAGGAGGGAAACGAGGGGTCGGCAAAGCTCGGCACCCCTTTGGGAACACGTTCCCCCAGCCTTGGCGGCAGTGGAAGGCCCTCCTCTGGTGTTTGCAGTTTTCTTTGTTTACATTCAGTTTAGAAACATTGGCCTTCGGCCAGCAAAGCGATGGTTCCCTTCCTCCCGCTCCCACTCCTTCTCCGGTGGCGGAGAAGAGACTTTTACGTTTCACGACCCCCAGGTTTCAAAATGTTTTCCTCTCGGCTCCCCAGATTAACCCTTCGGGGTCAGCTCGTAAAGAAAACGGAGCCGGACCGTGCGTGCACCTGCCCTCGGAGCTCCCAGCCGAGGGGGTTCGCAACAGGTTCTACCGGAGACGGAGGCGGAGGGTCCCGGCGAGCCGGCGAGCACCGAATCAAGTGGGGGGGCCCTCGCCGTGGCCGCGCCGCGCGGCTCGGCGCGCCTCGCCTCGCCGCCCGCGGGGCGGTGCTGTGCGGCGGCAGCCGGGCGGGGAAGCGGCGCGGTTCTCCCGCCGCCGCCGCCGCTGCCGCTGCACCGCCCGGTTCCTCCCGTGGTCGCGGCGGCGGCAGCGGCGGCGGGTGGGGGAGAGCCCTGAAGTAGCTTGTACTCGCTGGGCTTGTATGTCCCCTCGCTGCCCCGCTCCGCCCCTCCACCCCGATATCTTCCCCCCACCACCCCTCGGCGAGGAGTAAGTGCCACCGCTCCGCCTTCTCCTTTTCGCAATGTTGACGCAATCTATAAATAGTGGAACAAAAGGACCAACTTCCTCGCAGCTTTGCTGAAACTGCACAAAAAAGGCAACCGGGGGGGGGACACACACGGTTATTTTTTGATTTTATTTTTCTCCGGTTAAAAGGCGAATCCTCCTCCTCCTTCCTCCCCCTCCCCCCCCAACCCCTCCCGCTACTGGAAGATTTTTTTTTCCCCTCGCTATCTCCTATACTGACAACGTCCTGCGAGCGGCTGTTTTGCTTTTGCACTGAGAGAAGAGCTTCCCCCCTCACCCTCTCTTCCGACAGTAAGTGCCATTTAGCTACTGCCTTTTCGGGGGTTGGGGGGCTGCCTGCTTGCCTACCTGCCTGCTGCTCCAGAGAGCGGGCAGCAGGGACCGGGAGCTCCGGGAAGGGGGGGAGGTTCGGGGGCGCTTAGTGCGGTGAGGGGACAGCGCCACGGAGCGAGTGGGGATGCGCTCAGGGGGGACGGGGCGTGGGGGCCCCGCGGATTTGACCGGGGAGGGCGACTGGTGAAATAAGGTGATCGGGAGAGGGGACGGCTGCCGCTACCCGCCGAACAAAAGCTGACGCTGATATTAAACGGGCTTTTGTTAAGAGGAAGTGTGTGTGCGTGCGTGTGTGTGTGCGGGGGGGGGACACCCCGCCCGCTGCAAGTTGCCGTGCGGCGGGAGGGCACCTTAGACTTGTTTACCGCGCGGCGCGGCTCTCACTGGCGTGTTTACCCTTCACACACGGCGCGGGGCTCCCCTCCTCCCCCACAACCCCATCCCTCCTCCGTGCCCCGGGGAGGGGAGGGATGAGCGGAGCGGGGTTTAAAGGGGGGGTGGGGGTGCGCGGTCAGGAGATGTTGATACGATCACGCGTAAAACACCCCCCCCCCTCCGGTTTGCAAGTCGGATCGGTGCAAGCGCAGGCAGTCACTGGCCGGAGGGAGAATTACATCATCCCCTGCTCCAGTGATGCTACCTTTCGTGCCGCTACCATGCGCGCAGGGAAACAACCGGGGGCGCGCCTCACACACACAACCCCCCCCGCGCCGGCTCGGTGCCACACTGGGGTGGGGGAGATCGGGGGGTGGGGAGGCGCTCCCCCGCGTCATTCACACACACACACGCCCGCCCGAGTGTTTACAGCGCTCACACAGCCGTATTGTGACGTCGCCTGAGTGACAGCCCGTCGCGCCAACGGGGGGGGGGCGCGGCCCCCCGACGCCGCGGCAGAACACGGGCGCCCCGCCCGCTCCTGCCCCCGCTCCGCGCCCCGCGGGCACCGCGGCCGTGCGCGGCCCCATGGAGAGGGGGGGCGTGCAGAGCCCCGCCGAGCCCAAGACTAAACACTTCAAAAGTTAAATCCAACTCACACGCCCCAGCACCGGTGTGGTTGACACGATGCCGATTAGTTTGGGTTTGTGACGTTTTCTGACGTTTTAATCGCTTACTGTACGCCCGAGAAGGGATTTCTCGTGGGAGAGACGAGGTGTATTTGTAAGCGTGGGGTGTTTGTGAAGTTACACCGCTGATTCGAGTCCGGGACACCCCTCCGAGAGCGAGCCGCGACGCGGGGGCCGGTCTCTCGCCGGGAAACATGCTCCTTAAGTGACTTTGGCACAGGGAAACCGTCGGCGTAGAAGCTGTCATATTGATGGCCCTGGACACTCCATTGTCCAGACTGGACAATAAGGTTTTTTTTAAAGGGATATAGATTTAAGTACCGAGGACAAAACATAAATTCCACACATGGTATGCTTTCCCCAGCGTTACAAGTGTAATGTTATAGGGTTAGAAACTTGTTGCAATATGCTACTGTGTTGGGAAAAAGTGTCTGTAGTGTTTACTCAGTCTGTGAAAATATTGAAGCAGTACTTACCCACTGCAAAGTCAATAAAACTGTATCACACTAAAAACAACAAAAAGTGCTTCACACATTGATATTTCTCAAGAATTGTCTGCCAGAATGCAGCAGTGTAAAAATTATTGCTAAAACATCAGCATTTACTTGTTGCAAAATTCAAGTAACCATGAAGCCCTGTTTAATAGTACACACAGTTTTTAATGTGTTAATGGTTTGGGTTTCTTCAAAGCGTATTACTTTTTGAAGTCTGGGTGTTTCTATTTGTGCAGAAAATAGACTGAGAAGCTTTGAGCTCCTACTGTTACAAAAGTTAAAAGGAAACAAAGTTGAGCTGCTAAGTCGGCAGTCTGGAATGAGTCAATAGTATCTCCTTTGTCCTGCTAGCTTTCTCTACTGTGGTGTATCTTTGCTCTATTTCCTCTGCACAAGCAAATGAGGATTTCTACCCTCAGCATATTTAATAGCCTTTATAGAACTCCTGGCTTCTAAATATTCTTATCTACCAGTAATATTTGAATGTCTGCCTTTCCCAGCTGTATACGACAGTCATAATACCATCAATGACAGTATGCTCACTTCTTTAACCACATAGATACTTCCACATTTTCCATTATCTATAATTAATGGACCAAATTATTCTTGCTTTATTGTAGAAAGCCTTCATAAAAGAAATTAATATGCCTTTTTAAAGCATTCCATCATCTTGGTTTTTTGTTTGTTTGTTTTTTTTTAAAAAGATTGGGCCAGAGACATGTAGATGTAGATAACTCCCCTCCCCCCCATTTTACTTGGGGATTCCCTGGGAGTCTCAAAGGGCAAGGAGGTAACATAGCTGGCTTTTACAACAGGATGACAGGACCTGACACAAGGTCACAGAGAATCTATGCTTGGCTAGCCCTGTGCTCCAGTTTTGTTTAGCTGGTAGCTAGTCCCTTGAGGGATCAATGTCAACTTAAGCATGCTAACTTCTATAGGCAATGGGTTGGCCAGTGCCCGAGAGCTGTGACTGGCTCCTGCAGGCTCCCTACTTCTGCTGCACTTGGAGCTTGAGTGTTGGCTGCCAGGCTGCCTTCGTGGCTCTGGAGCTTGTCACAGAGAGAAATCAAAGTGGCAACAGTAGAAAGCAAGCCCCAACGCTGCCTGTTTTCTGAAAACAAAAGGTGGGTAGATGTATTAGGTGGATTGACAAAGCAGCTTGGGCAGGGATGTGGCTTAATTGACTGAGGCATAGAGAAACTGGAGCCAACTCCCATCACCATGAGCTAAGTTTCTGTGTGCCTCAAACCCACTTTGCCCTCAAATTCTGGCCTTGAATTGGTATTAGTTGTTCCATAGATCTGTCACATTCCCAAAGATGATAAACAAATGTCAATTCAATATTCCACATGTAAAAGTATTGGTGTTCAGCAATTAAAATATCAGCATACTTTCTCTGTATTACGTATGTATATCCTAAATTAACCCATTAAGGGAACAAGGTATATATATATATGTGTGTGTGTGTATAAATCTATGCACACACACATACACACCTTCTCATATTGATAGCTCTTTCTGGTTTAACTATCAAAAAGCATTGGAGATTAGAGTTGGGTTACTAGAGTTCAAAGAAAAGTGAATTTGTATTAACTCACTGGGAAGTTGAAACTTGTATTTTAATATATACAGTATGTAGTTTTATTTAATTTTATGTTAGAGTATGAAGGCTTTATAGGTCTGCAAGATCAAGATAATTTTTTTGTTTATAAAAATAAGATTTGCTTACGATTAATTTATCTAAGTATGCTTTTCTTTTGATACTTGAAGTACATAAATGAGTAATTTAGCACATGATTATCTGAATGACCATTCCTTTCCTTTTTCACACTTGAAAAAGATTATCAGTCAACTCCTGCTGTAGTGCTGTATCTGTGACCACTCTGACCGTACCATTTGGTGCCTGATACTTTTTAACTTTTTTTGCCATCTAAGTCTGTACTTCACCCACCAGTTCTTTTAAAAAAATGCAGTCCCATAATTCCCGATGATAACAAGCAGTTTTCTCTGGTGACCAGAGAAAATGCTATGGATTTCTAAACCTTTCCTTTAAAACTCTAAACATATTTATATCTTTTCATTTGTGAAGGGTGTTACTAACTTGCATTTGGAAGTTTGACTGATTCAGACAGCATAGTTTTCCTGGTTCTGCAAGCAGGCAGTTCCAGTGTTTCAGCTTCTGCACAGTAGCACTTTAACAAGCAGCAGCCATGCATAACTAACAAGACTGCAAGTCCAGTTACTGCTTTTTAGAAGCTTCTACCCAGCTCTTATGTTATCCAAAGTGTCCATTTTATGTTGTTGCAACCATATGACAATACTATTAACAGCAGGAAAGTGCGGTAGTTATTTACAATGAATAAGATACCGGGGGGAGAAAAAAAAGTTTAAAAAAATGGAGCCTGAGGCACGGGAAGAAAGCAGCACAGCTCCAGCTATCCTTTTATAGTAACTGATGTTTTGTGGAAAGTGGTTAAGAAAAGAAAACTCTCTCTTCCTTCAGCAGTTAGCCAGTGATGGCATGATCCTTCTAACTGAAGACTGACAGCATTCTTGGATAAACCTTTATGCAGGTTTCATTTCTAGTATTTGGAAATGAGCAGTGTTACTTTCCTCAGTTTCTTCTCTTAAACCTACTTCTGGATTCCGGGTCTTATCCTCTAGCTATATTGATAGATCTGTGATAGAACAGTTTCAAATTTGGCATTAATGCTTCATAAAAAGCAATATATATTTATGAATATTTTTAAGCACTGTAGTAGTTTTCATTCATATTTTATACACGTACAGCTAACATTCTGAGTAAGTATAGATGATATCAGCTAATCAGGGCATTACTTCAAAATGTGTACATAATGTGTACACAATATACACCTGGCACAGATTAAAAAAGTGCTCTCAGCATGGATTACAGGTACAAACAAATATTTTGTAAAAGAGGAATGGAAATTAGGAAATCAGTAGTAGTTCATCAGATGAGAAATATGCCTTTAGACTGCATGAAGAAGTAAAAAATAAATGTGCTGAGAACTAGGCAACACTAGCTATTAAAACAGAATATCGAGACCACTGTACTTTTTCAGGACTCTTAGTATCCTCATTTTGGGCTGAATGTGGTATTTGCATGAAAATCTTTTCTTATAAAACAGTAAATTTCACAAAGATTCCACCGTGTGACAGTGTACTGATTGGCTGTCACAACTACTGACTAAATATTAATTTTGGTAGTCTTTCCAAGTTAAATCTATAAGCTCCTATATCTGGATAACTTTTAAAAACCTATCCACAAGTGAAACTCTCAATAAAACAATTTCCTGACTTGCACATTGTCCATCCTGGTTTTAAAAGATTTGTTTAGTAACTTCTTTAATTTGTCAATTTTACTTTTATTAGTTGGATGGAGAAATATTAGATAGTCTCTTTTGATTTGAAGTGCATTTCATCTTAGCTTTACAACACTAAGCAGAGTGACAAACACTGCAGACTAACTAACTACATTAGTGCAATCACTTTGGTTTCATAACTCCTACAAATTTCAATCCCTTACAAGCAATGATTTACATACCAGTGAGGGAAAATGAAAATGAGGGGGAAGCTCATTATGACAATGTAAAGTGTATTTAGTTTCTCCTAACACAGACTAGATTAAACCTGGCCTATGTCATAAGAAATGTGAAGGATGAGAGCAGAAGGTACCTTCTCATTATGGTCATGCACAATTAATGCTCTCTTCACTCAATAGAGAAAACCAGACCCAAAATGGGAAGAAGGATCTGGACTACTGTTCTTTCACCTCTGCTCTCCACCCCCACCTCTTGAGCTGTAAAGAAAGGATCAGGTTGCACTATTTTAAAAGCTGGTGCAATACACACACTTCCTCAGTATATTGGCAAGCACTGGGAGAAAATCTCTTTCAGAGCTCCCCACAGGAGTTCATACTGCTTCATAACATCCTTTAGTTAGGACCGTGACTTATCAACAAAGCTGAGCCTTCAACTGAGCGACAAAAACTTCTCCCAAAAAAACACACAATATTTTTAGGGACACATATGAATAACAATATTATTGAAATAACTTACCTTTGACACATGGCTTTGAATGCTTCACACTTGATGCAAGTCATAAAAACAACTATCACAATAGGTCAGCACTACAGGTAAAGTAGACCTGTAAATAAATTAAAAAAGAAATTAAGCAACTTAGGATAATTTCCTGAACACGCTAAATAAACTGAACTGATTAACACACTAAGAATATAATCACTTTTATCCTACCATCTGAGAGCAGATTGCTACTTATTGGTCTTACAGACACTTCAAGTTAAATCATACTGCTGATGTTAAATCTACATCAGAGTGGAAGATGGATGGTGTTTTGGCCAAGGTTTGGAATGGGAGTTTAAACAAGGACCATAATCCTGTCCTCAACTCAGAATTTCACCACTGGCTTTTTGATTCTAAGATAGGGACAATTAAAACTGTTCTACCTCTCACTGAATCTAAGAGACAAAATAATGCTTATAGGATGCACCAATGCCACACATCCTAGGGTTATAAAAAGCCTAAAATAGGTAAGATCTGAAATAAGTGAAAAATCTGAAACAGTTCCTGAGGCAAGGCACCTAGTTAGCTGTGACTACTGAATGTCAAAAGGCTAATCCAGCTATGAAGATCTCTCTTAAAGGAGTTCTCATGTTGTATCATATCCCCACATAAAAAAGAAACCCAAAATTACAGTGACTGAAATCCTCACCAGTCTTCCACACTCTTCACATTAGATATGAAGACCTGAACTGAGAAAGGGCACTAAAAGCCTCATATCTCACCAGGGATCCTCCTGGAGGAACTATGGAAGGAAGTCATGAGCCTCCTCCTGTTGGAATAGGGGAAGTTTTGGATGCAGTGGAAGAGTCAGTACAAAGCACTGCATGAATGCTGGGCTGAGTCGGTGGCACTTGGAGGCTAGAAGAGCCGTCAAGAGGCCCAACAGCGAGAAGGTATAAATCCTGTTTAATCTTGCCTCAGCCACTTCTACTTGAGCTCTTAGAGTTTTACAAGGAGTAAAATCTCATTCCAGGCTTAAAAGAAGCTTGAGGTCTATAGATAAAAAGCTGTATGTTACACCTAGGTATTACAATTTTAGTTGTTAGTAATACACAGTTTCAACATATAGACTGGCAGATTCTTCATTTGAAAGTAAGAATTAAAATCATGACAGGTTGTGTCATATGACAAAAAATTTACAGGTAGTAGCAAAATTCTCCTTTTCTCATGCATAAGAATCATCCTTCTAAAGGGAGAGCCTGCTGGAAACACGCAAGAGGCACATGAAAATGGAGGGAAAGATAAGAAGTTTAATGGAAGATATTGAGTTGGATGACTGAAGTCTTCATCAAATAAGAAAGCACTCTCCTATCTACTTTCTGATGGTGTGTAAATGAATGAATCAAAGCCCACACATTCTCTTGCAAATCATGTCACAAGGATTCTACGTGCCTATGCCCCTGAGGTCATGAGTGACTATGTATTGACCTCTGACAGACTCCTGCCACCTTTCCTTTAATACAGCGAGCATACACCTCTCTAACCACATGAGTGCTATACATCCCATACTGCCTACCCTTCCTTTCCTTTATTTTAGCGATTTATACTCCCCAAAATTTCCTATAATCTTGTGTATTTCTCTACAGCCTTTCCCGAACTGAGAAGTTTCTTGATACTTAAGCAGATGTGTTAAGGAATAAGGAAAAGCATAAGAAGATATTATTACAGGGAGAGTCCCAGCAACTTTTCAGAAAAAGGAATACTTTATTTCAAATAAAATAAAATTGTTTTCAACTGAAAGAGGCTCATGTTCATATTATCACTAAAACTTTTGCTGAAAGGGGAGAAAACAGTAACTGTAGGCACTAGTTCAAAAGGAAGTTCTGTTACAGTACAGACCAAAAAATTTAAGTTCTTACACTGTATAAAATACGTAATTATTGCTGAACTTCTGCATATGCCTTAAATACTGAGCTGTGAGTGTGGACTGCTCTTTAATGTGTTCAACAGCCTTAATGCTGAAACCTATACAAGGAAATAATTATTACAATAGCATTCACAAAGCACAAAAACGAGATATTCTTTCACTGAAACTCCTCCAGCTCCAACAAAGACAGCATTCAAAAAAAAAAAAAAAAAAGAAAAAAGCATTCCAAAGACCACTGTAGATGCTGGATATAGACCGATTCTTGAGTCAAAGACAGACATCCGTCAGCCAAAAGGAATAACTCGAACAAAGGAGAGACTTTCAAGTTTCAGACTTTCAAGTTCGAGACCTCTAGTTTGAACTTATCTGTTTTCATATATCAGTAGGTTCAGTGGAGTTAGAAATATCCAGTATGTGTAATGAAAACAATCTCTATCAGTGGATACAGCATGAACATGATAATATATGTTTTCCAACCCTAGAGCAATTGTCAAGCAATTACTATTTGTCAAGGCAACACAGTTGATAGTCAGGGTCATCTAACCCTAGGTCATCTCCTTCTACCTTATTCTGAGGCAGGTCTCAGTAACTCAGCTGCCCAGCTTTCTTTGATTTGCTCTGAATGTAATTTGCAGATGCAGGTTTCTCTCCCTACGCACAGCGAGGAAACCGAGGGAGGCGGTGGCAGCAGCAGCAGAGGGTTGCACTTTCTGCACCACGATGGCTCATATAAGCAACAGCTGCTGGGGTTTTGTTCTAAAACGAAGGAGGGCCTGTGTGGGTCAGAGGGGACTCCTGGACAACTGATTATTAACCAGGACTTTCTAAAGAACTTGCAAGGCCCATATTGTGTTTGTTTAGGACCCAGAACTACAAGTGCATGTTATAAGCAGACTGGATGAATTGGTTTGTGTCCCTGAGTTCAATTATCAATTCTAGCTACGTTTTAAAACAGAAAGGATAAGAGCTTTGTCTTAGTAAGCCTATTTTGGTCTGGTTTTACATTTCCTTTTTTTTTTTTTTTTTTTATTTTAAAGGCCCTTATTCAACTAAATATATCCCCTTTACAAAATATGATTCTTTTTGCTATCCAGATTGTGATTTCATGCCTGTACAATTTTCATTTAACCATCTATATAATGAACTTGTGATTCTTAATCTTTACATTTTATAATATAAAATTAATGGCTTCTCTTTACCATGACTTGGTCTTCCAATTATAATTTATAAAAGTGTGTGTGTAGATGGAAAATGGAATTCAATCCAAATGTAATAAAGAGCCCTTCATTTTTTATCAGTTAAATTAAATAACCATAAATGTACATAACATTTAAGAAAAAAAAAGTTATCAGAACATGCTGCATTGAAAACAGATTCATTCAGCAAGAACTGATCACTGCTAGTTGGTGAACTTAAATGATTGTTTCTGGCTAGCACAACCTTCAAGACTTTGGAACTAGTACATCTCATCCTCTTACAGATTTCATTCATGGACCTGAAGAGAACAAATGACATTACCTGCTTTTTCATCTCCCAATGGATTTTTCAACTTTGAACATACTAGTCTTTAACGTAAACTGGATGAGTACATTAAAAGAGAAAAGGAAAAGCTATCAGAAGCAGGTTCCACATTCTGCAGGTTATAGTTCCAGCTGCTCTGCCAGTGACTTCCACCCCTTCAGCGGTTTGACTTTATCTAAAACTTTGGCGTAAAAAAACGTGCAACTCAGTATTTTTATTGTGTTATTTTAAAATACTATAGTAAATTTAATACCGGCTCCCTACTTTCATAATTAAGCAGTCTTGTTGAAAAACCAACATTTAATTTAAATAAAGCATACCTATAGAATTCATTAAAGACATATTAATCATTCCAGGAGGCCACAAAAGGAACAGAAAATGTGAATTCCTTCCTTTCTTTTTTTGTCAGCCATTTGCACTACAGTATGTTCAAACCAGAATGGGTTCCTACTGTGCCTGTTGGTGTACATACAAAGTTAAAGAGACAGAGCCCTGGCACAGAGGTTTGCCTTCGTTTCCTCAACACCTGAGCTGGTAGAAATAAGAAAACAAACAGGATAGGGTTTTTTTTTTAGTGCACTGGCTGTTCAGGTGCAGATTTACCAGAAGCAGGAGGCACAGGTTAAAAGGATACTATGGTGAGTTCTAGATCCTGCCCTGTTCCTCCATCCATTCTTCCCCTCCCCAAGCTCTAGCTGCACCTATGCCTATCTACTGAAAATTGGAAGGACTTCTGGTTAACCAGGGAACTGAACATAAGCATTGACCACCTTAATCTCTGCTAAAAATAGAGACTTCCCATTAAATTTCCTTGTCTTTACTAAGTGACTTAGGAGGATAAGCTGTCAGGACAACTTCCTAAGTTTAAAGGAAGAGAAGGAAAGTTATTTCTGAGAATGTCCAAAGGCTTTGATCCTGGCTTGCTGTATTTTGGAATAGATCTGTGGATTTGATTTATTCACTTTACAAGGATCAGAATGAAATTCCTCTTCCCAAATTACTGTGATGGAAACAACACTATCCCACAGATTTTCTATTAATTTTCTTGCTGTTCTCTTTGGCAGGCTCAAACATTTCCTTTGTAATAAAGAAAATCTGAAGGCCAGCATAAGGAACAAGTCACTACTCAGAATTACAATGGTAGCAACAAGTTTCTAGAGAGATGAAAATGAAGAAATTTTGGTTTAGGTGAAGGCAAAATTAAGTGAGGAAAAAGAGGAGAAGTAGAGGCATTTCATTAACATGTTATAAAATCTTTGAAATACTACAGACTAGGAAGTTAGCAAAGCTGAGTGTGCAGTAAAAGGAATGAGAATGACTGAGATTGACTATAGTTGATTGAATTTTAAAGAGGGTAAGGTCCTAAAAGTATTTTGTTTCATTTTTGCAAAGACTGTGAGTAGGTCAAGATGCATAAATAAACTTTACTTTAAGAATACTAGAGAGGTCAGACTAGTTCAGGCCAGGCATACACTTGGCCCATTTACCTATCTACAACAGCTGTCATAAGCCAATTCTTATCCAAATATTCTCTCAGTGAACAGCAGGCCCAGGACAAGCACATTTGATAATGCCCATAGGTTCCAGCATCCAACTTTGTTTTAGCTTGGAGGGTTTCCTGAACCTGATGTGGTTTGTCTAGTTATTGACCTTTACTAGATCTCTCTGCCAGGGTCTTGTGCAGTCTCTCCTTAGATCAATGAGAACTTCTTTAATCCATACTGTCTTTAGTTACATAATTTTGTGAGTATATTACCCATGAACACGTAAGCTAATATAATTTATTGTATTATTTGCTTTGAACATGCCTACTGCTAGTGTCCTCTGATGAACCCTCATTTATTTATTGATAGAGAAGGTGAAAAGTTGGTTCCTGTCCATACTTTTTGTCTGTGATTTTAAAACATTTATTGCTATTTTGAAGAAGCAAATTTTGGTATTTGTTAGAGGGGTGCTGTAATTACAGTCTGAAGAAGACTCCATCGCCCCTGGTCTGGAAATCTATTTCTTCTTAGGTCTGCCAATAAACCACCAGTTTGCCTGCTATCTGTGGCAGATGCTGAAGCTGCTATTGCAAAGAAGTCCTTCCAAGATCTTGAGAACTGGAAGCTTAGATGAGCACATTCTGACAGAGCCATTCTTTTCCACTGTTAGGGAAGGTGCATTAGAGGAAAAGATGCAGTCGTGCATATTGTACTCTTAAAACCCTGCTGGTCTTTCTGCAAGCAGAATCTAAAAAAATAGTAGGGAGTGGAAATAAAGATAAGAAAATTTGCCCATCCACATAAATCAGCCCCATTCAAAGCAAATTACTTGCTAATAACTAAAGCTCAAGGAAGCAATGTAAACTCTATCTAAAATATGAAGCAGAAAACTGAAGATAAAGTAGTTCAAGCCTCCTCTAAAGGAGAAGGCATTGTTTTTTGAGTTTGGCAGGAGAGCTTAAATGGACACAATTAACATCATAATAAAACCAGCAGAAGCTTTTGAGAGTTTCCTATTTTTTCAGTAGGAGAGTCATATATACCCATGCAGTATACTCCCATTTTCCCTACTATGTGTTTTACAAGGCACAGAAATATTTCTCAAGCAGACAGGAAAGCCCAGTTTCTATTAGTAAAGAATTATACAGATAGGTAAGAGAGGTCTCCGTTCTTAGGTAAAAATATAAACAACAGCCTTTTAGAAATCTTACTGCAAGGTAAGGTATATTGTACCGCTCTACAGAAGAAGATAAGCGGCTATTGCAGAAAAAATGGACTTTGAGAGAAAATATGTTAACTCCACTTAGTGTCAAAGCTATTGCACAGCCCCATGCTACTGAAGTAGAAGAGGTTAAGGGATACCGATGATGCCAAGATACTCAAACAGAAAGTCTTTTCATTTAGGTTTGTGAGTAACTCTAGTTAAAGTGACTCTATTTGACACAAAATGATCTGTACTCTTGCAAAATAGTTTCTGTCAGCAGATTTCACCTAAGCAACGCCCAGTCTATAAGCTATAATCCTACTGGGTTTGGCTGCAGGATCTGATTATTATTTCAGAAGAGTATGTCTGGCTAAGCAGGTAAAGAGAATGTACTGAAAGTTTCACAAGACACAAAGAAAGGCAAAAAACACAAGGCACGCAAAGCCCATATTATTAAGCAGGTAAACAAAACATTTTGTCAGGAGCTCTCAGCATCCCTCTAGTTAGAACAGACACCTATTTGTATCTGTTATGAACAACCACACATTTAAAAGTCCCCCTTTGAAAAACATAACTCTGGAAGACAGGTCAGTCCTGTTGACTCCCTGCTACGATGGTTAGATATGCTGAAGGTTAGAAATGCTCGAGAGCCTCTAACATTATCGGCCCTAATCCCAAATGTTGCCTGGTTCTGACTGGTTTAACTCAGAGCCATATGTCACATGAAAGTTCTTGCCCCTCAATGGCTTGTTGACAAATAGATAATTAATTATCACACTAACTATCGGCACTTGTTTGGGAAGTCCCTTAAAAACAAACCCAAATTTACTTTCTGTTCAAAACAGAGGGTACTGACTGAAATAATTATATGGAGAGAAAGCATCTCCTGAACATCCCAGAGATTTTGAATGGGAGCAAATCCCTCTCTCTGTCACCCAGACCCTTAGTACTTTGAGGTATGAAGGTGACACTGTAATAAGTGTCATTTGTTCAAAGTTTAATGAGGAAAGGACTTCTTTATGTACCCCAGACATCTGATGCAGCATGTACCAGGTCATTGCAAGGCTGTGCTTTTAATCAATTTTGTGCACAATGTAGATAAAGTACAAAATGTTTTGGGAGAGACTATAATTGCTGAGATGTTTTCACCGATCTTAAAAGATGACCTAGAAGCTGATTTAGTGGATCTGTTGCTGTCTAGGATCTCTCCTCTGGGAAGTAAAAACCTCTTTATAATATGATGTATAACAGCAAAACGATAACCAAGTGTTTTAAATCAAAGTTGTTTTTGTAAGTCTGAGAACTGTTGATCATATAGTTTTAGACTTGTGTGAACTGAATCAGTGATCTGTTGTGGTACTACACCTCAATCCTTTATCTTCTGAGGCAGGCTGTGATGATGGCTACTTTTTCTGGGAGGAGGCAGCGCAAACACAAAGTCAACAGAAAATTCCTCTGTAATATAATCTAGAGTTCCTATGAGGAATCCAAGGTCTTTTCTCTGCTGCATGGATCCCTATGTAAAAATAGACATCTTGCAGGCTGGCAGTTCAAAATCCCTGAGGATTAGTGATTGGTTAGAAGATTATGGATACTACTCCAGTCTGAATTTGAAATACCAAATGAAATTGCTGAGGCACCGATAGTTGACACGGAACTGCCAGCCCCCTCACCCTTTCAGTAAAGTTGTAGAGACAGAAGGCCCTGTCACTGATTTGTAATGGTACATTTGCTTCTGCAATCAGTCATAGAAGGGAACCTGTTTCTGGTGTTTATTGTTTCTAATAAGCTAGATAGCTTGTTATAGAATAAAGAGAGAAAAGCCACGAGGCCAGCAAGTCACTCAGCACTAGGTATGACACGGTACTGAAATACAAAGACAATTGCTATTATCAGGGCTATAAATACATAAAGCACTTAACACAAAGCCAGTCACTATCAAGGCCCCTGCAGGGAATGCCAGGGTATGCAAGTAATAAAATTGATCTTTTTAGGACCTGGACTTTAAAATACATGAATCAAAGACATGCCATATTGCTGATGAATCTTTCATCCCTTGCTACATGCCTGGGCAGCAACTTGTGTTGAGAATCACATTCTTCTTGCCTCCATCAGTCTTCCCTGCCAATACAAGTGGACCCTGATACTGGATATGTCCCAGAAGACCAGAATCACAGGTTGTAGGACACTGAATAAGAGAGACTGTCTTAAATCATAACTATAGCTTTACTTGTGGAATTTAGCAACCAATTGATTTCTGTTTAAGGGACTGTTTAAGAAGGAGGTCTCTCCCTCCCCTGCTGTATGTTTCCTTTTGGAAAGAGGAAATGTTACTGTGGGATATCTTGCTCTCCAAAGAATCACATTAAGGAAAATCTTAAACCCCAGTAACCTATGACTCCTTTATCCATATACAAAGAGATACATCTAGTATGTTAACTCAAACTATATTTTGCTAATGGTCATAAGGGGACTTAATTTACTCCATGAAATTAATTATACTATCACAAACAAAGTTAAGTAAATCACACAGTGCGTGTACTGCATTATTTCCATCTCTGTGGTATGATGAAAATAATGAAATCATCAATGTTTGTACTCACATGGCTATTTAATGCCCTGAGGACAGTGGACATGAAGGTGCTTCAAGTAGTAGTCTGCTGATACCATTTAATGGACTCTGCTTATCCAAATAATTTGTCCTTGCAGTCCAGGGACACATGCACACCAGCAACGAAATCCATCTACACAACCACTCAAAGAAGCATCCAAAAGCATCCCAGATGAGTTATTAATGTTCTTTGTAAAAACTGGGCAATTAAAATAACTCTCTGTGCTTTGGCCAACTTGAGTGGAAAACCGGGCTATACAAAGTAACACAAAAACTGCATTAATAAAGTAACTACTTCTTTATACTGTTGCTGTACCTCACACTGTTAGTCTGGAGAGCCCAAAACTACAATAAATGCAATTTCTAGTTTTCTAAATAAAATATTTTCATAATTATGATGTTTTCTTATCTATTTCTCAAAACTGGACAAAAATTATCCACACTCCTAAACACTAACGTTTACACTTTCCAACCTATCTCTTTCTGATGTAGAGTTTGAACTACTTTGTTCAGTCCAATCGTGGTTACGTTAAATATGGGGATTACATTACATTATTAAATCTGCTAAAATAGAATAACTCAGAATAACTGCACAGCATGTTTTCCCAATTCTACCTCCAATCATAGATTCTCCTGCCAAGTTAAATAAATATTATATCATTCCAGTTTCCTTATATGTGCTGTTTACCACACTTAATCAAAGTGCATATATTTTTTATTCCTAACCACACTTTAATTATTCTTACTGTTTCTGAATGTCCTTATTCAATCTGTAAATAATATTTTTTAAATTATTAAATTATAATTTCATTAACACCTTTGAAAATGGGGGTTAGATCCTTCTATATTATTAACTCTGTATGTTTCTGAGTATTCATACAACCCAAAAGAGGCACAGGCACCTTGCTGGGGATTGATTTCTGTAGTAGTTGTGCCAGGCCTCTGAAGATATGCAGAAAAACTAAATTTCTCATCATAATAAATCCCCTCTGGTTAAGTAAATACTCTCTGTAGTCAGCCAATTTTTTTTAAACTGTTCAATAAAATATTAAATGGGAAAGCTTAAAATATAGTTTGCATTTTCAACTGTAAAAATGAATGTTTGTTTACAGTAACTATTAAGTTAATATACATGTTGAGAAGCAAGTTGTCACAAGTAAAACCAGACAACCTGAGGTTTCAATTGTAAGTAAAAGGAGCCTTAGTATTTTTTTCCATTTTTCTCCATTTGCTCAATTGATCAAGGCATCTTGCAATTTAGAACCATTATTCTTTCTTCATGAAACATCTTGGATCGTAAGTTACTTCTTTGACTGTCATGAGAAGTCAAGTCACATAACTTTCAGAGGCCTTTTTAAAGCAGTATTCACTTCTATCCAGGAATTATGTTTCCCTATGCTTGTAAAAAAGTGTGAGTTAAACATTCTAAAGTTATTTGCAGGACATGTTCCTCCAAAAAATTCTCTCACCTACACTGTTTTTCTTCTATATAAACTGCATTAATATAAAGATGCAGTGGTATGTAAGTCATATTCTTGAATAATTCTATTCAAGTTTACAACAATCTTTCTCCAGATTGGCTTGTATTATAAAGGCTGTAAGACTTTGGTGGTCTCTTTGTAAGTTAATTCTCAAATATCATAAGCAGATGCTTCCTACTTTAAAAAAACAACCAACCAACCAACCAACCAAAAAAAAAAAAAAAAAAAAACCCCAACCAAACAAAAACAAGCAAGCAAACAAACAACCAAAAAACAACCAAAAACAAACCATAAACCAAAGCCAGGTAAATCTAAATGATTCAAGTGTAGTATTAAATAGAAAAGTTATACTGGAACCCCTTGGTTCCTTATCAAGTTAACAAGACACAACAAGCTACAAAAGTGAAGGGGTGCTACTTTTCTTATTTAATCTTCCTCTCCGGGATGTTAACTGAGTGAAAGCTACTTGATTCTCTGTACACAATTCACATTTTTAATACAGCTGCTTCTAATAATTGAAATGTTTCTAACACAATTTGAGGGGTGAGGGTACAATAAAAAGTCCATTTGCAAACGTTCACAGCTTTTCCTGTCACAGACCCAATACAAGAAAAACCACTGGAAAATAAACACTTTAATTTGAAGACTTTAATTACTGTTTGATAGGAACACATAAGTCCTTAAGCACCTAACAGATTTCTTAGAAAGCACAGACTTTCTAGCCAGTATTCTGAATAGACTGAATGCTGTCAGTATTCTGAATAGTCAAATGATCCTCATTCCTTCAATATTCTTGCTCTTATGTTATATATTTTATGCTCTAACAAAAGCATATACATGGATTATTCCTGTTTTAATCAAGGCCATGAATGTTGGTAACATGAACCATACATTTTCTTTAATGTTGTTTTTTAGTACAGAAAAATAAAATAACTTGAGGTTTGGAGCAGAAACGCAAGTGATATTTTCTAATATCACTAACTAATTTCACTTTAGGGTTCCATTATCACAGCATAGATACTAGGTTTCATTTTTATTACTAACAGACTTTATTTATCACTGTAAAAATAGTCCATTAACCACAGAAAGTAAAATTCAGCATCAAAGTTCTGGTTTTGTTTAGGAATCAGACTTTTTCAGATATTCTGTCAAATAATAAACCCTAGTCATCTATATCTGACTTAAAAGAAACTATATGTGTTTTGAATTCAGAATATTTCCCTGTAATACCTACAAAGGTATACATACCTGAGGAGTGTGTGCTAGATAGAATTAGAAGCCAAGAAAAAAGGGTATTGACCAGCTTCCTGACCAGAGAACCAAGCAGTGTAAGCAGAACAATAGCACTGCTTGTATGAACAGGTAACATGCTTTAGCCTTATTGATGAACTGTAAATAGAAATTATATGTATATGAATTTTAAAATTTAAATAAGTGAAAATTAAAATATACAAAGGCATACAAAATTCAAGAATACATCTTTCAGAAAAAAAAAAAGATACCTGCATTTATGATGATTTATCATGCGTTCGGACTATCTGATTTCATCTCCACATTCCAACTTATTTTTCAAATTACTTCTTAATATTCCAGATTATTTATTGCGTGGAGCCAACAGTTATAAAAGAAGATAGGTGTAAGAGCATTTTGATGACAGAAACTTTTTGTCTAATCCATTCTAAATTGCCAGTGAGGAAGATGCTGCATCAATGACAGATAGGTTGGTTCCAGTTTTTAACTGTCCTTGTACTTAGAAAGATTTTCCAGATATGTAGCCTGTTATTTTTGACTGCAAACTAAGATAATTTTTTTCTTGTTCTTCCACAACTGGATACAAAAGACAATTGGTGACCATCTTCTTCACAATGATCTTCAGATGTCATATTATTTTCCCCGGTCTGCTCTTGACTAAACAAATACAACTCTTTTGAAACATGCCTTATAAATCTTGCTTTCCAAGAATGTTTTCACTCTTGTTCTTCTACGGATTCTCCTTTACCTGAAAATTGAAATAATTTTCCTTTTTCAGACTTTATTTTAACACAAATAAGACAATTTTATTCACTGACTTTTACTCTGGCCATTTTGCACGAGTGTTCTTTGATTTTGCTTCATCTGTAAATGGCAGCATCAACATTACTTGAAATTTTACAATTACTGTAGAGCAGTAGGCCCCACAGACTCTTGAAAAAAAATACATCTTTATATCTCAGTAACTTTTCTGGAAATGAGTAATGACAATTTTCTTTGAATCTAGAGTAAGTCACTTTTCCTTACTTTTTTCTTCAAAGAACTGGATAAAACACAGATTTTGTATACATCTTCTTAGTTTTACAGTTAATAGCTAAAACAAGAATTATGCTATTCTTAATAAGCAGACAGATAGATGGATGGACAGACAGGCATAAATCTAGTTTTTCACTGAGAATCAAGCATAACAGAAGGGAGATTTGACTCAAAGCCTGTATCTCTCTCTATTGTCTCAAAAAAGGTAATGTCTGCTGAAATAGAGTTAGAAGGTTGTTGCTAGTTGAAGTATGCTACGGAGTCTCTCTTTGATGATTACACAGTTACTTGTTTGTGGTAAAGGTATGTCATGCTTTACATTGTTTTCAATGAGTTTTGCCTAAATAAAGAGGAAATATTCTGGACCAAGAAAAGTAAAACAAAGGATGTATGATAATAACAGATCAATTCTGCAGTGGTGATCTGTCTTCACATTTTTTTTCTTTACTTTTTTTAATCTCAAATAGTTTATCCCAGGAATCTTCAAATTATGTGCTTGGAAAAAAAGGGGGGAAAATAAAAGGAAGTGATAAACTGCACAGCAGTTTATGACATTTAGCCCAGATTTTCTGCTTCTTTGCTCTACTTCACTTGTGCAGACCACGGAACTATACCATAGTCACATATGAAAGTTCTTCTCAGAAGTGGTTTCTACAGTTTGGTTTTGCTTTTTAATATTCATATAGTTTAGTCATAGGTTACTTTCACAATGAATTCCTGAAATTTAGTAGTTGTTCTTTGTAATCTAGTTAATCTATCCATCTGCAAAATGTGCATGATGCCTAGGTGTACTCTCAATAGACTGAGTACATAGGCTGAAGGGTTCCCAGCAGCACTGCACTCCTGCTCAGAGACACCCAATCTCCACCTCCAGAAAAGCCTCTACCCCTTCAGCCAAACTTCTGAATGCAGTTATTTTCTCCTTCCCATATTCCAACTTAGCTTCCAGCAGCTCTTACAAGCTATGTCCCCCCACTTCCTCAGGAAACATAGAGAGGCAATCCCCCAGCAAGTGATTATTTATGCAGGAGTGATGGGCACAGAGTGTATTCACCACGAAGGGAGAAGCAGTCTATGAAAACTTCTCTAGCAGACAGTTGTACCTGCAGTATCTGCCATAAGATTTTTCAGAATGTCTTTTTGCAGAAGTCTTCAAACTACTCTTTTCCTCAAAACAGGAACTACCAGTTCTGGTAGTTCAGACATTAGGTTTAGAATATGTAATGTACTCAGAGAGAAGTGGATAACTTCAAGTATTTTGTTTGGATGTTTCATGTAATTTTCTAAAACTATACTCAGGGGCATCCCAGTATTAATATTTTATATAATTCACTCGCATTTCCAAATTACAAGATCATTATAAGAAAGAATACTTCTTTTTTTCAGCTAGGTATGTAATATATGTGACAGATTTGCTCTGTTATTCTTCATCTATATAATTCTGCTTTCTTATATTCTTCATTGATATTCTCTTGCTTTTTCAAATGTAGTTTCTATTATTGGCAAAAATATGTTCCTACTGATGTCAAAGCAAGCCAAAGGTACAGAATTGTACATTCATACTACAGAAGTGATTTTTCCTAACATAGTTCCCTACTGTGCTGCATATCTGGTTGACGGCAATACAGTAAAGCCAGAATAGCCACTTAGTTCCTCCAGAAAAGCTGCCTGCATTTCTGCAGGACTGCTTCTCCAAATACTAAATTAACAGGAAAATTTATGCTGAATAGTTGTTAGGATGGTCTATTTTCTTATCAGTGTTCCATTAAGAATAATTTCCTATTAAGAACTGTTTCCAAACACCTACTTCCAATTTTACTTCTCAAACTCTGGCTATTTTTGTTTGATTTATAGCATCCTAAAATTTTGCCCATTTTATTTCATTTATGTCCTTTATGTCCTCAGCACCCACCGGAGTAGCTGATATCTTTTCAGAATCTGCATGTTGTTTTTATCTGAGCATCTGAGTTTATTTCCTCTCTTTACCTCTGAGTGACTTAAAAGATAATACTCAACTGAACCCTAACAGATCATATTCCAACACTGTCTGACTTGCCATATTTTCCTTTTCTTTTTTATTTTCTGTCTTCGGATTTAAGATGTTAATCTCAGGTCACAAAGTACACTATGAATGTAAATTTATTTTTTCTTTTTGTGCAGTTTTTTCTGCACATAGTTTTCTACAACCTATAAAACTAGAAATTATCATGAAACTAACTGGTCAAAATATGACCTGGAACCTAATAGTAATTATATCACATGCTGAAAAACTGTCCAGGTAGTACAGAGATTATGCTAATCCCAAAACATTATTGCATATCCTTTTTTGAAAACTGTATAAATATTCAGTAGAATCCTTATCCCATCATGTGCATGATGAGGTGACTATTTTATATTGAAGCATGTCCACTTCAGCATTAGATCCTTCTTGAAAGTCTCAGAATAAAATGCTATAAGCATTAATGCATTATATTTCAGGCTTTTATCCTACGAGGAGGTCCACGCAGGTGGGACCCAAACTTCATTTTAATAATGAAGTAAATCCATTTACCCAAATGGTCCTATACTGATTTCTTTATTGTAACCTTGCTTATCTTGAAAAGAATATTCACTCATCTAACTGGCTTTACAGTTTCAATTTTAAAACGCTTTTAGATCAGTCAAGTACTGTTTTTCCTTTTATTGTCCTCCTCTGACTTTCTTAATTTGCCAGGTTTTATTTTATTAGATTTTTTATGCTTTCTTCCCTTTTAATTGTCACACATTATACCCAAACTTAATACATTCATTGACATTTATGGTCTGAAAGATACCTATAGATTACTGGTATCAAAATGCCATTGCATTTTTGATTTAGAGCAGGCTAGTACAGTTGTAATTATTGCCAACTGGATGTAGTGCATAAGATTACTTCTGTGTTACTGAGCTAAACAGGGCTCAGGCACATGCTTGAGCTCCATCATATGATAATCCACGCCATTTAGCTGTTAGCCTGCTCTTTGGTATGCTTCTCACCTAGGCCAGTGAGCACTCAGGTAAGACACTGCAGGATGTGGGGAATAGCGTGGGTTAGGGAGTCTTCTTATAGGCAGTATGAACAAGGCCACCCTGGCTCAAGAGAGCAAATGGGTTAGCCAGGCAAATGTGAGCTGTAATTTGCTAATGACTCTTGACTGGGTTGTGGAGCATTTTGTTTTCTAGTACAGATGTGATCCAAGAAGTTAAATGCCATCAAAAACTGGTAGAGTGCCTTCTTATGAACCTGTTACCAGACCTATGCAAAGGATTTGAGCTGTTGGCATGGGAGAAGGGTAGACAAGGGTTGACTGTGACTTCCCCATGGCAGGCAAACTCTCAGCCTGTGAGTACGAGTGGATCTTGGCTACCTTGTGCTACACAATCTTCAGGGATTTTGCATCTTCCATTTTCATTTGTGAAATTATTTCTGTGTCTGCCAGCCATGTGAATTTCAGGATCTACAAGCAGAGTGGTTGTTTTATAAATTATGCTTCTCTCACCTTATATTCCTTATATTGCAACAGATAGTTATATTCTATTTATGTCTTAGCCAGACTTGTTTGTAATGTGATCAAAGAACATTTCTCGGAATTTGTAGTGGTACTGCACCTCTCAAGATTTAGATACACACCTGTACCTAAGCTGTGTTTATGAACAGAAAGACTTATTCTTTCATGATTATTTCCTGCAGGACTTTATAGATGAAATATGTTTTCACATCTTGATGTAGCAATTCACTCAGCTTTATTCTCCTCCTGTAGATGTTTCCCTGCGGTTACACTTACTCATTTGCTGAAAAATCTTCCCTGTTTTGTTAGTATTTCCAGCTATGCTTTCCTCAATGTTCCTAATATATCTAAAAATAAAGACTTTTTAACTGATTGTTTTAACTGAGACATTATCACTCAAAAATTGCAAATCAAAAATATACAAAGTATAGTATTATCTTCAAACTACAAGTCTAAATTCTAGATTAGTAGTACTATCAAGCAAGTAGTCCTAATTAAAGAATACTATAAAACGATAGTTTTGTACCTTAACAAGTTATATCAATACAGGACTCTCAAAACTAATTTTCTAAAACTACACTAATTTAAGTCAGTTTGGTGTACTTCCTTCCAACAATAATACACCATTGTTAGAATTTCTCATGATGAGTAAGGCCTTATACCATAACTACTCTGCTGTAAAATGAATATGACTATTAAGCGAGGGATTATTTCAGGATTTGTATTGCATTATATAGTTAATAAAAAGGACAAATCTTCAGTAAGCAATAGTGACTTAAATGTATGCATGCCAATTTATACCACTTGAGGATATACCCCAGAAAGTCCTATCAGGTTTTACATAGTTTTTAATATTCTTTCTTCTTCTATGGATGATTTCATATAGTTCTTTTTTACAAAAATCATTGCAGTTGATGCAAGTTCTTTCTGGCAAAAATCTTCCTGCTACTATTGTTCAACACAAACTCTATCATTGGTGTAACTGTTTTAGAGATTCCAAATTTCCTCTGCTTTCTAATCCTTGTCTATAATGTCATCCTCATGCTCAGTAAAAAAATCTGGCAAAGAAGGTGCTTTTTTAATGGCCTCAAAATTATGCAAAGTACTGCCTGTAACTACACTAATTAAAAACTTTTAGGCACCATAAATTACATTCTCAGTCACATCTCCAATAATTTTCTAGCTA